TTTAATATAATATTCAAATGAAAATCGATATTATTAATATCGATTTTAAATATTATATTTGCGATCACAACACAAAAAATTTTAACAAAAATTTCAATTGAAATTACTTTATTAGGAAAATTTCGAAAGTTAATGAATTTCGAAGTTTGAATTTAATTGAATTATAATTGAAGTATAATTAAAAACTGAATATAAAAATTTTTAATGGGAAATGCCTTGAAGATAAAAGTATTAATTTTAAAATAAAGAAAAAAGTTATAAATATTTAAAAAAGTTTAAAAAGATGCAAAAAAGCAGAAAAATTTTTTAAACGTGTAAAATTTTTAAATTATTGTCATCAATTCATTTGAATATTGCCTCAATTAAGACTCAATAAATTAAAATCAATTAGAAGTGGATAAGGTGAGGTCCCAATTACGGCGGTCATAAAGAATTATTTTATTTCGAACACATTATGCAAGTTCACGAACTCACATAAACAGCTTACATTATTATACAATTTACATTATTCATCATAATGAAATTCGATTTATAAAATTATCACTAAAAAAATTAAATGAAATAAAGCTGAAAAACCTCGGCAACTGAATTAATAGAAAATATTTTTGAATATTTATATATACTATGTTTACTTATTTATATATAAATGTATATGGTATTACAAAATACAAAAACTGTTTTACCCACAAGCAAAAACCAAATATCCTTTTTTAAATTAGAAAATATAAGAGTGTATATAAAAACCATTTAAAAATAATTTCATAAAATAAAATTGTTTTTTGTTTTTTTTATTTGGTATTTGGTATTGTATACTCGTAGATATTCGAATCAACAAGTTCTAATATTAAAAACAAAAATGTTTGAATGTGAACATCGCGTAATTGAAATTCAAGATGGACTCAAAACGGGTTATGTGGTACAAAACTAGTGTACAGAGAATAGAATAGAGGTAAAAAATTCCTATATTTACATCAGGAAGTAAGACAAAATCAATGCTTTAAAGACATTGTGATTTAGATGCGTAATCTACAATCGAACACATAGTAATTTGATTTCCTGAAAATAGTCGTAGCAAAATGAAATAAAAGTGTTAACTGAAACACCAACCAACCAACTAGAAATACTATCAAAAATATTTAATTAAATTTATATCAATTTTATATAAGCAAACAAACGGACAAACAATTTCTTATATAATGTAACAAATTAGATTTTATTAAGCAAATGGGTTATATTTTGGTATGGAATTAAAAATTCTGAAACTTAAAAACATAAAATTATTAGATTTTGCAAATACTACATAGAATTGCCAAAACAATACCTCTCTTATTTTAAATATCACGATCAGCATAAAAAAAGGCACTATGCGTTAAAGGGAACTCTTTTTTTTTTTTACATTTTCTTTTTAAATTTAATAAAAAATGAACAATGAATGTATGTATACATATATATATGTATATTTTGCTTTAACATAAAATGCGTACCAACATAAATTCACAAAAGTCAGACACAAAAGAGTCAAAAGAATTTATTTTTTTTTTAAGTCTAAATAATTGGAATTGGTTATACTAACAGTTGAAATGGTTTTATTGGTTAAAATTTTTGTATTTTTGTTTTTATGTGTTTTAATTTATTATTCTAAATGGAATATATCTTTAGTTGAGGTTGATGCTCATATTCAATTAAACAAATTGTAAACTGAAAGGGTATTTCATTCTATAGTTAATTTAACCGAAAGCAATATCAAATTATATGTAGTTATAGGCATATAAAGTAACTTTTATTTCATCAGAATTAAAATGTTTTATCTTGTGTATATTTGTATATAAAGTAAAATATATTTATAAAATATATAATTTGGTATTTAAATAAAGAAACATGTTTACGCACAATATATTGTCATTAAATCATTATGTAAATTCACTGATTTGCATTGGTCAACATGCTGAAAACCTTAAAATTTCTTTCGGATTACAAATTCAGTATAGACGTGAGAATAATTTAATATCAGACACTGTAAAGTTCCTGATTCTATTAATTTTGTACAAAATTTCAAATTTGATTAATTACAAATTATAATGTGGGAAATAAATGTAAATTATATAAAAATAATTTGATTTTTCATTTAAAACTGATTTCATGAAAATAATTTAAAAGCATATTGTTCTTCATATCCCTGTAGCTCAGTTGGTAGAGTATCCGCTTAGAAAACGGTAGGTCACTGGTTCGAGTTCAGTTCGAGGAGAAAAGTTTTTTAATTTTTCTGCATTTAACTCGTTCCTTTGATTACGTTATCCATCTGTTCTGCAGTTGTATGAAGGAATTTCCATTAAGTTAATAGCATATTTTTTCTTTGTTTTTTATTTTTTAAATTTTCAACATTTTAATCTGAAAATTTTCAAAGGAGTGAATTTTTTGAATGAACAAGCATTTAATAAAATTATTTTATTGCAAAATTAATTAAAAATATTTTACAATTTTCAAATTATACTCGTATTTATGTGATCATTAAAATTTAATGACTTCATATCAAAATCGGTGATATATGATTCAAATCCAAATTTATATTCGAGTTTTTTTCTATGCAACTGGCAAATTTCACTATTATATCTAAAGCCGGTCAATAAATAACTAATGGAATAGTAAAAATCATTTCAACAAATCTCATTCCCAATTGAATTTGACTTTGACTGTACCTGCATATGTACATGAATATTTGATTATTGAAATATTTTTAATTCCCTAAGAGCAGAGTTCTTTCGCTGATATTTTGTTAAATTCAGTAGTATTGTGTCAAGTTTTCCTTAATACATGAAAAATTTCCGTTTTTAATATCAACAATCTTATTTATATCTAGATCAAGTTTAACATAAATTTATTTTTTAGTGTTTATTTGACATTGTAAATTTATCTTTAAACTATATTTTATATTTATGTTAGAAAAAATAAGACAAGGATTTTTTAAAATACACATGTAAATTTAAAATATATGATTATGAGCTCCCGAAAAACACCTGATTTCAATGTTTTCTCCATTTCTTTTTTGTTTTTTTCTTTTTTACTATAATTTATTATAAATTTAAACACCTGTTTTTTTCGTACACCTTTAATATTTTTATACTTTCTACGATATTATTTTATAAATATAGAAATTTTTGAAAGATAATATCTACTTTTTCTATCGTAATTTTATATAGCATAAATTTTGTTAGAAAAAAAAATAGACAAACAAAATAAAAAAACAAACACAACACTCTTACAAAAATTTTGTGTTTTTTTCTTTCTTCTTTTCTTTTTTGTTTTGTTTTGTGTTAAAATTTAACACGTTTTCTTCAATTATTTGTTTCATTGTTCCCCCTTTCTCCCGCCTCTCATATCGTATTTCTTAATTTCATTTTCTCAATATCAATTTCCATAAAGGAAAATTTGTCACCTGTAAATAAAAAAAAATAAAATATAAAAATCAACAGAAAAAAAAAAATTTCCCATAAAAATAAGACAAAATTTTAGATTAAACCAGGAAAAATTATATCCTATACATAGCATACATATACATATTTACATCTGTATTAGCTTAATACCACATGAATACTTCTATAATAATAAAGGAACAGAACTGAAAAGAAATTCAAATAATAAAGTATTAAAAAGAGGGTGCAAAAAAAATTTATTATCAATCTTTGGCCTTTTCTTGTGTATAATATTATTCGTACAAAAAATAATTTACATATTACATACACATTAAGATATACATATGTATATACTCTATTGATTTAATCCACAATAAAGTTTATTTGATTTACTATATTACATAATACATACATAATAGAAGAAACATATTATAAAGGTTTACCTCTTCGAATATTATATACATATACACATATTATATAATACAAGGAATATCATTTTTGGTAAGGTGTTCGTTTATAACATGCACAATATGTACCCAGTTGACATATGGTCCATTAGAGAATTCTAAATAAAATATTTGTTATATAGAATTTCCCAAAAGGAAAATAAGGATAATTTTTCATGAAAATATTATGTTCATAGCTATATTATAATATATATAAAAAATAGGAAACTAAAATAAAATCTTATTAGATATTTTAATAAAATTCAAAATATTGGAATAGTAAAAATGTTCAGCTATCTGTAAATAAAATAATTATAGCTAACAAAATGTTAAATTCTAGACGTTTTACATGTTCGAAATAAGATCATGTTTTTAATATTAGAATTTTAAATTTTTCAAATTAAATTTGATTATTTTTCGACCACTTTTCGTGGTTACTGCAAAATTTTATTAATGCTGAAATATTTGAATATACTTTACAAGTAACAAATTTTATTTTGTAAGTCTCAAGTAAATTCCAAAATATATAAATAAATTAAGTCGATACAAATTCGTTGTGTGATTTCGCATAAAAAATTGAATAAATTAATTTGAAAATACTAGCATTAGATAGATTTCAGTAAGATGTACTAAGTTATCGCCTAAGTGAATGCAATATTCAAAATAGCATTACTTAAGCCTTCAAATTCTTGTAAGAAAATAAATAACGAACTAATTCTAAATTAAAGAACTTTCAGAAATTAAATACAATTATTTAGTTTTTAAAATAAAAAATTCAAATATTCAACAAAACATTTTAAAACAAAAAATTTGTATTACTTTTTTATTCCGAAATTTTTATTTATTGGGTCCTACGATTAAAATATGGCATACAATTATTGTTAACACGATTCATTGTATGCCTTTTGATTCTGATTATACAAAAATTATGTTCTTTTTTTTTTTTCTTTGCAAGGTTCATTTGACAATAATTTAATACAAAAAAGCAAAAGCATCTATTATTTATTCTTGCTTTTATTTTTACTTAATAAACATTTATGTTGACTGTATATAGGATTTTATTATTAATTTTTACATAATACATACTCTTTTCTCAAATTTTTATTATACATATATACATATATTTTTGTTTTTCTGATTACAGAGCCAGTGAACGTTCACCATTTGATGGAAGCTGTTGTGGGGGAGGATATGCCAATGTTGATTCACTACCACCATCACCTACAGATAGTGAAGATCCACCGCCACCTCCAAGGTAACTGAAAGAAAAAAAATATAATAAGATTATATTTTTATTATAAGAAGACAGTATAGAGTTGAAATAATAATTTGTTCTGGCAATACTATTTTTATATGTCTTTTATATAAAATTTTCCATAGTGAAATATTCAGTGGGTACGTACATGTTAAAAAAATAATTTTAATAATGACAAAAGACGATACCACTATAATGACAAAGACGATTGCAATAGAAAAAGTAAGAAAATATTCCCAGATTTTCAAAGGTCTTCAGATGTTTTTCTAAATATTTAATTGGAAGGACTTACTTCTTGAACACAATAGAATTTTAATAAAAAAATTAATTGGTAAAATTCGCTTTAGATAATTATTATTTCAGTAGAAAAAGAAACTTCGAATCTGTAGAAAAAGAATAAAACGACCAAATCTGTAGTAATTTTAGCCTGAATTAAAAGAGATTGGAGCCCATAAGATTCCTTGACTTTCGTTAAAAAAGTTTGGCTTTCGTTAAGGGTAACGAAATTTGGCCTTGTTAGGCTTGTCCACTATTACTAATTCACATTATTATTATCTTACCGCCCGGTATTTAAGAATTACTCAGTATTCTTAATCATTTTACTGCTTTCTAAAAAATTTTCTAGCGTTTATTATCTTAAATCTAATTGATTTAATTTCCTAACCAAAATTTGCTACTTTAATTGGTGTTCAGTTCTTCTCTTACCGTATTTTGCTGAAGCACACACTGACACTTTTCATAGAGAAAACAATTCTTCGGAAATTCTCATTTTCTCATTTTCTCTTTATGGTTTTTTTTTTTATATATTTTTTTTGGCATTGACTTTTTTACCTTTTTATGGTTAGAAATTTTCTTAAATTACCTGTATACAACCAGTAGATTGCAAATAAAAAATAAAAAATAAAAAAAATTTTTTTTATTTTATTATTTTTATTTATATTTTAAATTTTCTTATTATTTTTCTCTGTCTCAATTTTATTCTTTTATTGGTTATTACAGGTACAGAATTGTGATGTTAGGTGATTCTGGTGTTGGTAAAACAGCTTTAGTATCACAATTTATGACGTCTGAGTATATGCACACATACGATGCTAGTCTAGGTACGTCTATAATATTGAATCTCTCCTAAATGTATGCAATATAATAATATTTTGTATATGCTTGTTTTTCATTTGATAATTTTTTTGTTATTTTCAATGTTTTAGATAAAAAAAAATTCTTATATCTTTATTTCTTTGGAAAAAGACAAAAAAAAAAACGTATTTGCTTTTATTGCACTTTAGAAAAGTTTTTCCATTTTTAGATTTTTATAAAACTTTTATTTTTCTTTCTTCTTTCAAGTTTCTTTTTTATTGAATTTTTTGATTTAAACTTTAAGAAAAGAAAAATTAGAATGAAAAAAAAAAAGAGAAAATGCAAAAAATGACCACATTTTAATGTAGAGGAATGAAAGGTTATCACAATATTCCTTTCTCCTTTCCATATCGTTATATTGATTTTTATATTATGTTGCTTTTCTTCGTTCTCTTTTCAACTATGTACAGCTATTATAACTTTTAGAAACCTGAAAAAATAAAATATTTTTTTAGTGTTTATAAATAGTCGAATCAATTTTAGTTGCACTTTTATAAATTAGAGACTCACATAGGTTTCACTAAATAATATACTATAAAATAAATAAAATTTCTCCTAAATTTATGCAACGATATTGTTATTTTACATTAAATTTAAATTAATGCAGTCAACTTGTAAAATTTCAAATATTTTTATTTGATATTTGAGTAGCTTTATTTGATTTTCTCCCTGTGCTAAGTCATTCCGGCAATTTGTACTTATTCTCTGTAATAAAATCATATTCTGCATTTACGAGTTGCTTACAAGATTGTGAATGGTTTGAATTAAACATAAAAGTTTAAATTGCTTTAATGTCATTGAAGAAAATGACATTTATATAAATGCGTAAATTAAATTACGTTGCATAAACTTTTAATAATATTTTCATTACAGCAAACGTAAATATTTGAAAATTTGAAACAAAATTGTTGAAAAACAAATTAAATCTGTTTAATTTTTAGTAGGTTTCACTGTAGTTAGTTTTAAAAACTGGAAATATAAAAATAAATATAATCAACATCATCAAATTATCTTTATCGTTATTAAATGTATAATATAATCTTAGGGATCATAAAGACATGAAAATTCACTGCTATTAAAGTATATGTAAAAATAAAAAATAGAAATTAGTTTATTTGTGATACTAAATAGTATTAGAGTTAGTAGAGATACAATTTAAAAATATTTAAATGCAATCATAAATAATTGATAAATAAAAAAAAAAAGTATTTTATTAATATTTTAGATGATGTTAACAACTCTCTATTGTATTTTATTCAATTCGTACAATAAAATAAGAGATACCTTTATATTATTCGTAAAAATAATAAAATAATTGCACTGAAGTTTTTAAAATTACAATTAAAATAATTTTTCATAGTTTTTTAAGCACATTTCGAAAAAAAAATCAAAAGAAAATTTACTATTATTTTACTATCTCTATATGTTTGTTGGTCGGTATGCGTTTGCAAAACATAAGCTCCCTCTCTCTTGCGTTTCAAGAGAGGGAGCTGAAATTTTGTAATCAAATAGATTTTAATAAATAAATTATGTAATCTTTCAGAAATAAATTATTCTAAACGAATACACAAGCATACATCCTCCCTTTAAGTTATAGCTTTTAAATGTCGTTAAAATTCAAGGTATGTTAAAGTTTTTAAGGCAACGCCAAGTTGTTCGTTTATTAAACGAAGATTCATTCTATGTAGTAACATTAAAACTTATTAAATAAATTGAAATCTGCATAGTAATTCAAACTTTATTCTAAAATAGAACTTTCTTTTAATTTATTAGAATTTCCCCCTAAAAGTATGCAATATTATTTGTAATTCAACATTTCACTTCAATAAAACACCATTTTAGTTATTTTTATGTAAAATTTTAACTTCTATCTATACACTTTAAATAGAAGTATGCTATATTAAAAATCACATACATTCTTTGTACATACATATCTATATATTTAAATTATATGTAGGATATAATACCGTAACTAAAATGATTTGTAAATTTCAACTTTAAATTTTCAAAAATTCTCAGACTATTGCTTAAAATTTTCCGCTTCTTATAAAACTGAATTTGATATAGTAATTTGAAACAACAAAATGAAATAAAAAAAAAAACAAATTTTAGTAATTTTAAAATTAAATAATTCTTAATTTTAATTTTTAAAACAGACGTCCCTGATCCGTATAATAGTAAGTTTAAAAAAAAAAAATTATTCATAAAATTATAAATTACATTTCACATACATATATAGAGAAATATATATTTTTTTTTTACTTTAGACCCCCACAAAAAATTTTTAATCCATTAAAAAAACTACCCTCTTATTTATTTATTTGTTTCTCTTTTTTTTTAATAAACTCTCATTCACTCATATTTCCATTTTTTTCTCTCCAAAAAAAAAACAAAAAATTTTACAATGCTTGAAAATCTTAAAGGGAAATATAAAAAATTTAAAGGTTTGTATGAAATTTTTATTTTTAACAAAAAAAAAAAATTACTAACCCCCCTTTGCAAAAATTTTCAATCCTCTGTTTCAAAAAAGCAAAAACAAGAACATTCCCTTCTCTAAAAAAACAAAAAAAAATACCCAATTTCTTTTGTCATAAACAAATCAGAAAGTAGAACTTTTGACCTAAGCAACCATAAGAAAAAAAAAAAATTTCCCAAACTCACAAAAGATGTCGTTGTAAAATTCCCCCTCCAGTTTTAATTGGTTTTATTTTGGTTTATAATTTCCACAATAATTACATATTTAAAACTTAAAATATCAAGAGCAATTATTTTGTAATTTTTTATTTTCCTCTCATACTAAATAAATTTTAATGAATTTTTATTTTAATTACACCAATATTTAAACATAAAAAAACTTATATTTGCAGGGTATAATTGTCCATCCGTTTGTCTGTCCGTCCTTCTGTCTGTCTATATTTATCTATTTATTTATTACTGAAATTGAATAAGGCTTCCGAAATATTTGCAAATATCGTAAAGCATGACATTTTAATAAAGTTTTATTTCAGGATTCCTATACAACTTAAGGTATAGGTGATCTCCTAAATTTATGCAATTAGAAATATAATTTTAATTTTGTACCACGCATACTTTATTGATTTATCGAAGTACCACCAATAAAATTTTGACCGCAAACATAAATTATAAATACGTGTAATATACACGTGTAAAGAATTAAAATTTCTAAGAAAATTCAGAACCACCAAATTCGGCTCAGCCAGTTTTTATTCAAAACCACAAAATTAATTTTAAGACTTGATATTTTAAATTTTTAAATGTGTTTGAACTGATCCTGAGCAATAAATTAATTATCATAAACAAAAAAAAAAGTTTAAATCTCAAAAGATAAAATTAAAATTTTGCATGAAAATTCCTAATTGTTGATTATTCATTGTTTTAGGGATAAATTGTTGTTATTGGCATATTAATGATTTTGTTTTTGTATATTTTGTTGTTTGATGCATAAGTATACATTTGAAATGTTTATTGTTTTATTGTATTCTCCTTTTATTTTTTTTATAATGTTTCCTTCTTTAAAATTGGCATCGAATTTATAATGTACGCGTCTCTATCTAAATTTTCTATCCAAAAAAAACTATCTATTTATTATTTCCTTTCATTTTAATTCAAATTTAATAATTATTGTCACCGTATCTATATTTTATTCACCTGTACAAATTTTAATTATCATATATGTATAATTGTCCAAGAAAAATCAAATTTAAATTATTTGATTTTCTTGGTCCCAATCTATTATTGTTTATTTAATTATTCAATTTTGAGTTTTAGACGATGAATTTGGCGAAAAAACTGTTAGTATACTATTGGATGATGAAGAATCAGAATTGGTATTCATTGATCATCCTAGTGTTGAAATGAGTGTAAGTTTTATATAATAAATTCTTTTATAATATTTGATATTTAATTTTTTTTTTTACTGCAGGTTGAAAATTCTTTATCAACATATGAACCACATGGATGTGTTATAGTTTATTCAATTGTTGATCGTAATTCATTTCGTGTAGCAGAAGATACTGTCAATTATTTATGGCGTGAAGGTGTTACTAAAGAAAAGGCTGTGATTTTGGTAGCCAATAAATGTGATTTAGCACGTTCCAGGATGATAACAAGCAATGGTATGTGTTTGTGATTGCTATTATGCAGAAAATTTTTTTTCATTCCTACATTTTTATTTTATTTTTAAAAATTTTTAAATTATACCTCTCTGCACCTTAACAATTTGAGCTTAAAAATTTGTTTTCGAAATATTTAGATTTAAATTTTTGTATTTCCTCGAGCCAGTCAAACTATTCCATAAAAATTGCACGGATATGTCTGGCCTATATAAGGACACATGACTGCCAAGTTTTATGAATCTAACTTTATTATTTTTCCGATTATTTAAAATTAGCTTTTGGAGTTGTGTGACAGCTACCAGTTATATGCTGCAGTTGTATGGCATTCAAATTTTCAAAATATATTTACGGAACTTCATTTAAATAACTTTAATTTTTAAAATATTTAAACAAAAATCGCTTTGTGTTGTATGGTATTTATATGGCAATTAATATTTAAAAAAATTCTGTCATTTTCTAGTTTTTCATGCCTTCGTTAAAAACTATACTTCTTCGTTAATTACTTCATAAGAAAAATTTCTTTTCCTGAAAGTATGCAATTTTTTTCAAATATTTTTCCATATAAATTATTCATTTAAAATTTAAATAAATCCAAAATAATCTTAATACCCGAAGTTATTTGTAATATTTGATTCACATAACAAGAATCAAATAAAATTTCAATAAAAAAAAAATATAAATTTAACTCGAATTCAATATAAATCGATGAAAATAATTTTTTCTACCAATTTAACTTAACACAAATTTATTATTAAAAAAAATAATTTTTCACTGTCATTGTATAAATCATTTATGTATTCATTGACGTTATATTGACTACGTCAATGTACACAAAGTGACCCGTTTTATATTACAATTCTCTATGGAAATTAAAATATTTTAAAATGTCATTTAACATTAAAACTTTAACCTGAAAATGATATAGAAAATTTATTTGCATATCCCAAAAAAAAAAAAATTTCTATGAATTCTTATATTTTAAAAAGTATCCATTTTCGTATTAAAATATTTCGGGACTGGCTATCCATAAATCGATTATAATTTACATAATTTTAAATTGATTAAGAGAAAACAACAAAAGGAAAAAATGAGTAACTTTATTTGTAAAATTGAAATTTAAAACTGCTCCATCAAAAGTAAAGGCAGAGAAAATTTTAAGAAAACTTTAGACAGATATTGTGTATAGGCTTCATCGTAACAATCTTCTTTCGTACTTACATCCATATTATTTATTATTCATTAATTTAATATTGTTATTTTTATATAAGTTTTGCTATAAGACTCTTTTCAATTATTTGATACTCCTTGAATCCTTGATACTTATTTGTTGAGTATAAATTAGAATTGTACAACTTGGAAGAAATGAGAAAATTTTAAGTATATTTCTCCTTATAGTTGATTGATTGATTTTTTTGTGGTCAAGTTTTATTCATATTTTCTCTCTCCTTTCTCCTTTCTTCACACTCCTATATTTTTCATTGTTTCTTTTCTCAAATTTTTCCAAATTTATTCGTCTTAAATCGCCAATCGGATACTAAATAAAGAAAACAAAACAATAAAAATTATGCTAAAAAAAAAAAAATTCCCTTTATTTGATTTTTTTTGCCTTCTCTCAAATTTTTTTTTCTATTTCATATTTTATGTTTCTTGTCTTTTTTTTTCCATTGTATTATTATTATTATTGAGATGCTGTTCCAATTTCTTCTTTACTATATACACTAGACACAATAGAAACATCAAAAATCATTATTTTCATCATAAATTATATTTTGTTAGGAGTTTTTATAGTACCTTATAGTATAGAAGATTTATTAGGTTAAGTACATTTAAAAAGGATCTTTTAGACATTAATAATGATGGAAAATTATAAGATATGGGGAATTATTAATAAATCTATGATGATGATAATAATGTTATGGTTTTAGAATTTTAAAGCAAAATCCATAAATTTTTTACTTTACATATTAAATGGTCTATTATTGTTCTTTGTTTGTTTTTTTTAAGCGGATATTGAATGGATAATTAATCAATTTTCAAATAAATTTCTTTATAAAATTATAAAAATTTCCTTGATTCTTAAATTTATTCTTTAAAAATATTGGGAAAAATTTCTTTTGAGTATAAGATTTTTCCATAAATTTAAAAAACATTGATTATAATGAGATTTGGAGAAAAAATGTAAGGTCGTTGTTGATTGGAAAAATTTAAAAATTTTAAAAATTTTATTTTTATTAAATTAAAAAAAAAAAATAATTATATTTAAAAGCACAATTCGAGTTAATTAAAGTAATTATGTCATTTAAATGAGTATAAATTACAAATTAAAAAATTTTAAGACTTAAACTACATAGTGATTCACCCACAAGTTACGAGCAGTATACCAGATTTTATTAAGGCCTTTGAAAACTATACATAGAAATGGTTTTTTTTTTGCTATATTTCCCGTACCGCAAAAGATTTTTTAATGCTTAATGACTTAAATTAAAGCTTAAGCAGCTGGGCAAAACTCTGCAAAGATAATTTTGAAAAATTCAAAAAAATTCATGAGAAATAGTCGGGATAAAAAAAGTAAAAAAATAAAAAATAATGATGAAAATTGGAAAATTCCTAAAGTTCAAATGCTAGCATTTCCGAAAAAAACGTGTAAAATTATATAATCCGATATTAATTATTTAAAGCCCACTTAAAGCTCTTTCAAAAATTATTTGTTTAAAATTTCTATCGTTTTCGGAACGGCAGTTATAATCAAAAAACTTAAGTATGTTAAAATTTCGCCAAATTTTCTCAAAATCCCTGTAGCTCGGTAACTGTTCTGATTTAACACTATGTTCCCAACAAAAATTTTACTAATTTTTGACCCTCTACCCGATGGTATATGATTCCTAGCTTTTTGGTGAATCGCCATATATATTCAATATTTGTAAAATCGAAATTCGGATTATTAAAAAATATTTTAGATTTTATAAGAATTTTGCTTAAAAATAGCAAATAAAATAACGAAAGGGGGCTGTAAAATTCAAAACGTATTAATTTATTCTATAAATTGCACTGTTTGCTTATTCACCAAAATAAAATTTGCGCTCTCTTTCAAAATACTGTAATTGTAATTTATATTCTCACCAAATTCTTGCGTTCCTATATTTACATTTATTAACTAAATTCTTGGGCAACCCACACTACTTAATATGTGTATTAAATACTTCGGCTTCTATTCATTTTAATAATATAAAAATTATCGACTATTATTGAACATTAGACCTTTTATTATTTTATCTTTTATGCATATAAAAACAAATAAAATGATAATTACTTTTTTTTTTTTTGCAATTTTATCTTTTAATTGCGATTTTAATTAATAAAGTTGTGAATCATATTACAGTTCACTATAACAATAAATTAATAATGATTATAACACATTATTATAATTATTATTTTTGTTTCAAAAAAAAACAAAAATAATTTGTGCGGCTTTTAACCATAATAATTATTACCTATATTTTTTCTTTTATCGTTATAATTAAGTTGATAATAATTTTATCTCATTAACAAAATTCTCAATAAAAAAATGTATTTAAGTATATAGAGGGCACGAGCCCCCATGTTTTGATATATCTTGTTCCATGAAAACAAAAAAAATAAAAAGGAAATAATTGAGAATTATTGATAAAAAAAAAATTATTTTTAAAAATTTATTGTAGACATGATAACGAAAAAATGTGATTTTATCACCAACGTGATGATATGAAAATTAAAAATAATGTTTGATTTTTGCACTTTTTCGATTGATTTTCAAAAATTTTTTTTATTTTAAGTTTCAAAGTTCAAAAGTTTAATTGAAATTTTTAATTTAAAGTGAAAGTGAAATTTTTTAGCCACACTTCAAGTGAGCATTAGCAAAAGCTATAGATTTGCATTATAAATCTTTAAAACCAAATAAATACTATAAGAAATTCGAAGCTCTAAGTACATTTCTCTATAATTTTTTCAAAAAATTTGAAATAATTTAAACAAAAATTCGCATTTCCGAATTAATGACAATCAGTACAAGAAGATTTCAACCCTTCTTCTCATTTTCATTATGTAGATTTACATTAACGTCATTGACACGTCATTAAAATTTTGTTTTAAAGATAAAACATATTTTTTCATATAATATTAATGACACTGTCTAGACAGCGGATATTCTTTTAATAATATATTAAATATGGTCTGTTTCCAATTTTATAGCTTCGAGAGATATCAAAAACAAAAAAAAAATGAAATAAAATAAAATTTTCGAAAATCATTTTCCATATTTTTCTCTCTCTTTTTCTGTTTATTAAAACAGAGCATAATGTATTTATGTTTAAAGTGCTTTTAGAGAATCACCTAAAATATTGATTTATGCTCTTTCAAAATTCAATAAAATACCATATTGTTTTTATATGTCATGCAAATGCATTTTGAGAACATAAAATATTAGAGAGAAATTAAGTTTTTCCCCCCATTTCAAAAATTTGGTTTTCTGATTTTCATAACATTTTTAATTAAAATTTTATGAGCAAGATTATAATAAAAAGAAACAAAGCGACAAAAATAATAAGTAAGAGAATGAGAGAATTTACTGTTTCATTTTATATATATTATTAATTACAACACAGTAAGTTATATTACAACACAAATTATGGTGAGATTCTAATTTTTTATTCTAATTGAGTTTATTAGTTAAATGCATATATAATTAAAATTCAGGAAAATAATTACAAATATTTGATTTATTCCTTAAAATTAAAAAGTGATCATTTTGATTTTCTAAAATATTTTAATTTTAACACAGAGCTCTAACTAAATTGATTTTCACTGAGCTCTAACTCAATTAAAATTTGCTATTTTCTACTTCTCTATAACTTTTTAATAATTAAGTATGGAGTACAAAATTGAAATTGCTTATATCTTAATTTTATTCTTTTATTAAGAAATCTTTAAAATCACTAATTTCACTCACTAATTTAATAATTATAATTAAAAAAATTTAATTTAAATTTAAATTTCTAAAATTTTCATTATTATACGTGCAAAATAACGGTATAAAATGAAAAACGAAAAAAATAGCAAATTAAATCACGACAATATTGCGCTTCAATATCGTAATTTTTAAATATATAACAAAAAAAAAATATAAATTAGTAGAATATTATAAAATTTATTCAATAAAAAATTCATTAACATTACAAAATATGAATCCAAAGAAAATTACTTTACTTTATTAAATTTTTAATTTTATATTAGTTTTGATTTTAAAATATAATTGAAATCCTTTATCGTAAATTACAATTTATAAATGTTCGTTTAATATTAAATTGAAATGGAAATAATATAACTGTGATAAAATTGTAATTGTTATTAATTTTGTTTTTTTTCATCCCTTTTCTTATATTTTTTCCTTCTTACTTATTCTAGATGACGCTTGTCATCAACATCTTTCTCGATTTTTACCTTTATATTATCTTTTATTTTTTTATTGTTATCTTCAATATACTCTACATTAAATATACTTACATATATATATATGCATTTGTATAGATAATTTCAATTTAATTTTAATTTAAATTTTCTTTACATTTTATTCTATTTTCTTTACAATTCATCAGAGGGTAAAACATTAGCAGCAAATCGTGATATAAAATTCATTGAAACTTCTAGTGGCATTCAACATAATGTTGATGAACTCTTAGTTGGTACATTAAAGCAGGTGAGTGCGAATAAAAAAAAAATTGCTGTATATATTATATATTTTTATATATATATATATATACACTATAAAGAGTCCCATTCGCATTTTGTACGTCATGTCCTTTGTATTTTCATTTTATATAAAATGTTAATGTTTATTTTCGCATATTTCATTTTATTTATTTTATTTTTTGTTTTTGTTTATTTCATTTGTTTGTTATATAATGTCATTAGTGACAGAAAATAAATATATACTATTGTTTCAATTTAACTTTTTTCTTATTTATAGTTATATACGAATATACGTTTGTGTATATATTTCATATTACTATTGTCCTTTTCTTTCTTTGAAAAAAAAAAAGAAAGGAAAGGAATGTAAATGAAAATTGATTTTCTTTATTATTTTGAAACATTATCATTATTCTGAATTCGTTATAATGACAATTTATTTTTTGATATTTATTCTATATTAGTTATATATACGAATATATATATATATTTGCTTTATTCTTACATATATATTTTTTAAGAAAAGATTGTGTAGCAATCATCTTTTAACATTGGAAAAACAGTAATTTTCAAAATGTTGCAATTTAATTATACAACAATGAATTACGTAATTATTTTTTTTTTTACGATAATCAATTATACAATCTTAACTTGCAAGACCAATTATATACATATTAAAATATTTACAAAGTTTCGAGTTACTGAACTGTGTTGAACTTCTCATATAATATAAAAAACTTGAGGTTGACATCAAGAATATTCATTTTAAGAAAATTAATTGTTTTTAATGTTAATTAATTTTCTTACTCCTGTTAAATAAGAACTCCTGTTGGTTAAGAATGAATGCTTATATATTTAAATAATTCAGAGAGCAAGAATTGAAATTGGGAATAAATAAAATAAAAATATTATTAAATAAAATTAATTTCGTTTTTGAAAACAATTGCAAAATTGAATTTTCTTATAGTTTTTCTTGAATTTCTTGAGTGCTTATAAAAATTGGAATATATATGTTGGGTAATTTGATATTTTTATTTTTGACATTTTATCCGAGATCTGCTATACAAACAGTCAATGTCAAATTGACAGCTTGTTTTAAATTTGCTTCAAATTACTTGATATAAAATATTAAATATTTTGAATAAATTTGAAATTACTTTAAAATATTTTTTTAAATTTTACCATTATTTATTCTTCATAATTTAATAACAATTACAAAAATACTAATTAAATTATCACCAATTAACTAAAATTTTTTTCTCAATTTATATGCTCAAAATTCCTAAAACAATTTAATCTCAAACACAGAAAATTGTAGCAGTAACATGAAAATAAATTTTAATTCCCAGTAATAGTTAATTATTCAACTCTCTTAAGTAATTATATTCCAAACTTTATTAAAACGAAATGCAAAAAATAAAATCAAATTCAAGCAACATTTTCATTATATAGGGATGGTCATTCTAATTTTATTTTTAAATAAGATTTAGTTGTTGAGCTTCTGCTTTTATAAAAGTAAATTTTTGCTTTAAAAAAAAAAAAAAATTTTTCCTTAATTGAAAAATAATTTCAATATTTCTTATTATTTTAACATTTTGTTTTTTTTTTTTATTTATTTTATCTCTTTTTAATTGATTCGTAACTATATAAAGATACGCCTGAAAGAGAAACGAGATAAGAAAATGGAATCAAAGATGAAAAGTTCAAGAACGCATATATCATTACATTTGGCTAAAGAAATATTACAGAAAATTTGTTTAACAGATATAACAAAATCAAAAAGCTGTGAAAATCTTCATGTTCTTTAATTAAAAATGCCAAAAGATTTAATTATAGGAAATAACATTATATTAAATTATCATTTATTATTATATAACAATATATAATATGTATATATATATATATATATATATAAGTGTATATATTATAAAAATAAAAAAATTGGAAGAAAAAATTTTTTAAATGGCAATAATTTAATATAAAGAGCATTCAAAATAAATAAGAGTCAGTGTTGAAAAAAAAAAACAAAAAATAATAAAAAAAAATTAAATTTAAATTCTGTTATACGAAAAAAAAAAAGTATACGGTGATTTATATTTAATATTGTATGAATTTAATAAAAGAAAAAGAGATATCAAATAATTGTGATTTTGCTCAAAAATATTATTTATACGTTTAAATGTATATATTGTAAATTTTGACAACAAAAATAATGTACGATATAAATTGAGTTAACATCATTTTATTAGAATGACAAAATTGTTGTAAATGTCATATTCTCGTAAACATTATGACATATAGTTGTCAATGAGTGCATTATTTGACAATTAAAGAATAATAATATAATGTTGTCATTTATTTCGAAGAAACTAAGAAGAAATAAATTTTTAATTTGTATAATTAAAGAAAATAAATTTATAAATTTTATTTACGATATAAGAAAATTTATTGAAAGAAATTTGCATTATTTTATTTTCACTTGTAAGTATGTACATATATATTTCAATTTTGGACTGAAATTTAAATTTTTCAATAAAATATCTCAATTTTTAATATTTTTCTCTCAAATGTTTATGATTTCCATCATTTGTCGTACTAGTAATATATTATTAAAAAATTAAACAAATATTTTCGGTATATATGTAGATTTTTATGAAATTTAAAATAGTAAAAAAGGAATTTCAATAATTTTAAAAATGAAGTAAGTGGGTACAATATTTATTTTTATAATTATTTAATTTCATATTTAACTACAAATTAAAAAAATCAAGTTTTCATATTCAAATAAAAATATTTACTTTAAAATTGAAAACATCGGCACAGTATAAATGCAAATTGTATGCCTATATGATTAATTGTTGCAAAAATTAAATACATAGTGTTGTATTCGGACTATGTATTTAAATTGCGCATCTAGTACATATGTCCGAGCTACGGACAACACGCCGCCCCAATTAAAATATTTAAAATATTTAATTGATAATTAAAATATTGGAAATTTTTCATTTAATTTTTTTTTATATTATTTAATTTATTAAATTTTTAATACATATAAAATGTGTTCTATATTATAACGTCATTAGCTCTATGGAACAATTTAGGACAAAATAAATATTTCGTATAACAATAAATTCTCCAATCCAATTTATAAAATATACGCTTATAATAAAATTAAAATGTCATTGAAAAAAATAAAAGCCTATTTAATATTTTATAAAAATTGATAAAGAAAACACTAATAATTTTTTTTGGTGAAATTTAAATAAAAATAGGTCTTTCTTATAATTTAATAGCAAATAATTATTAAATAAGTTTTTTTGTATAATATAAAGTCTTCTTAATAAAATAAAATATAAATAAATTTAAATGTAATACCTTTTTTGGTAAGAATTAAAATATAAAAATTTTATTGTAATAAATATTGATCTCGAATCAAATATTATTTAGATAATATGTATATTTTAGCTATAAAATTTATTAAATGTTCTGTTTTCCGATTTGCTTTACAATCATTTTTTTTATAACTAAATAAAATCTATCTATAATAATTTGTAATTTATAATTGAGGCGATCAGCCTATTAGTTTCCTACCTGCAAAAATACAATTTCGAGTATATTGCGATTGAAATGTTGAAAAAATGAACTTATGTTAAAATAGAGTTAAAAGAGAAGTAAATTAAGCAGCTATTTTGAAAATATGGAACAATTCTTTAGGCCATATTACATTTCTATTAAACATAGTAACTCTTTGATATGCCCCTAATGTCCTGAGCGCCTTAATTATACTTCAAATTTTTCAAAATCAAAATATAATAAGCATAAAATCTAAATAAAAAATATTTTCCGTTAATAAGTCCAAATATAATATTAAAATTTTACTATATACCTTGCAATACTGTACCTATGTGTGAGTTTATATAATGTTCAAAAATATTTCAATTTAAAACAGGGTTTTTTTCATAACAATTTTCTATATATTATAATAATACCTATACATATTCAAACATATCTAATTCTTCAAACATGCCTCTATAATGTCTTTAATATAAACAATATTTTATATAATACCGATTATAAAATATTTGAAATTTAATATATTTGACATTTTATGTATAACCTTCAAAAGTCAATTTTATATTAATTTTCTGGAAAATACACATATATATATATATATATATATATATATATATATATATATATATATATTTATACTATAGATTATATAACATTAAAATATAAAAATAAAATGATATATGTATTGTCAACCTTTCTTGAAAAAGGACTTATTCTTCCATAATAAATAATATATATATGTATACGTATATATATAATATATAAATATATTATATACATATATATATATAATATATATATATATATATATATATATATATATATATATATATATATATATGTACGAGTATATATCCATATATATAATTTAGGATTATAAATTATGAACGTATTTAATTGAAAACAGAATTAGTTTTTAATTTAAAAAATCATATAAAAAACTAAAAAAACAATGATGGATACTAAAAAAAAAAATATAATTGACTGTTATAATCAAAATTCATCATTAAATTAAAAATATATAAAATAAATACATACTTAAATAATATAGAAAATTAATAAATAAATTATATTTACATAATATATTATATATATTATATATATAGATATATATATATATATAGATATATTATATATATATATATTATAGATGAAATTGTATTTATATAATATACGCAGATAAAAATTGAAATATTTAATTAATATATACTTATACTTACATAATATAACATATACATACATTTATAGTATTAATATTATATTAAGATATTAAAAATTAAATAATATTCAAAATTAAATTTGAATAAGTTCTAAATGAAAACTTTAAGGGAAAAATAATAAAATGTGACTTTAAAATATTAATATATATATATAATTTATTTAATATATTTTTAATATTTCAATAATAATATAAGCATAATATAACAATTATATAAGTAGAAATTGTTCAATATCACATACAATACAAAAATTTTTACCTATAATATATAAATATCCAAAATATATAAATATAAATATACATAGATTTTATCGGACATTATATAATATAAACTTTTTAATTAAAATCTGATGTTAATTTGATCACGTTTTTTAAATTCCATTCAAACAAAATTTGATATCAAACCACGGTTCATACATGTATATGTATATCAGACTTCAATAAATTTCAACAATTAATTAATAACATTGTTATAAACTAATATTCAATGGAATATTTATTATTTTGTGTGTTATATACATGGATCTACAATATGATATATATATACACAAAAGGATTAGTTCCAACACGATTTACACATCAAACATAATTCATAAAGTAAGTTTAATTTGATTGAAATTTGATGATTGTTTTGAGTTATAATCGCTCGTAAACCGGATTTTGTTTGATAGAAAAAAAATTAACCGGCATCCAATTGTATAAAAATGAACAGTGTTTGATATCTAAACTTTACCTTACAACGTATCTTATATGTACATATATAAAAATTTATGAGTTTCATATAATAGTTTCAGTAATAATATGTTTTTTTTAATTCAAATCAGCTTATATAAAAATAAGTATTATCAGCCTTAAGATTAATTGTTTGAATTTAATTTCAGAACTGTGTAGCATTAAGGAAAATGCAACTCAAATAAAATTATTTTGAATTACGAATACTAGTAGTATTCGTATTGACGTATTACACTATTTATAATCAAAGTTTATTTTCTATGTATGTACAATTGGGGACTGCTATACTATAACATAGAAATATTTGTAATATAAAACAAAATATGCATATATAACATAAGCTTGCCATATAGCGTGTATAAATTTTCTTCATAAATATTTTATTTAATTTAGGAAATTATTTAAAATTCCTTTTATTTATTCTATTTTAATTACTTTCCTTATTGCGTACAAATATTCATATATTCTTTATTAATGATAGTGTTCCTTGATTTCCTGGATTAATCACATTTGTATGAAGGAAATTAGCAAATTAATTTTTAATATTTTGTTTTAGTATACAATTTTCACATCTTCTTGTATTCGAAATTTTGCATAAACTATGGATTATATCATTTAAATTGAAAATCTTATATGATTGACAATGATTCATTGTATAATTAAAATAATTAATTCTTAGGTAAAGGTATTTCTATCATTATCCTTTTTTATTCATACCTATAGTTTATGATAACTTATATGTATGTTATTTCTATACTGTACCAAAAAAATAAGATTCAAAAGTTGTGGGTGCCTTGATATAGGCAAAAAATTTTTATATTTCTTTTAATTTAAACTGTTATACTTATTATATTTAAATTTCTTCTCGTATTTTCTCAATAATTACATAATTCTTATGTTGAAAATAAATTTATGACGCAAAGTTTCTGTTCTCGAAAATGCTATTGATATTTAATTATACTATTTAAAAAAAAAGATCAAAATAAATTCAGATTAAATTTAAAAGGAAATATTATATTTCTTTTGTTATATTTAAAATGGCTCTTTTATTTATAACACTTGAAATATTAAAAATCTAATTGCTTATATAAGGTTTTGTAATATGATATAAATAAAATATTAGTATATACAGTATAAAATAATTTTGATTATCACAAATTATCTTAATTTTATGGAAGGCTTTTCCTTGAATTACAGCAATATAGTTATTAAAATTTGTTTTCGAGGACAGCTACTCTCTCTAAAATTTTTCTCATTATTCAATATTTTTATACACGCCTACGTTTCTATTATGTAATCTGAAACTTAGAAAACCTAAAGAGTTATACTCTTATTATTTATTATTATAATATGAACTATACTTT